GTTTTATATGGAATAAGAGAATATACTATGCAGGAGGGTGTATAGTAAAAATATAGACTATTTGTATACGGTCCGGATTGGTTCCAATCTGGAACCAATCCGTGGACTACAGATTTTTAATTTTTCAATATGGAACCGAACCACGGGTTCAAAAAACCAATCCAAACCTATCGGATTGGATTGAACTGGATCGGATTACAAATTTCACGAATTCCTTGCTCAGCCCTACCACTAACTATATGAATTGTATTTAGAAAAAGCTCATCACCTAGTGAAGACATCAACCTCGTTGCTTAACTAACCAACTCCATTTCAAGTTGTCTTATAGTTAGAAGCTTCATTCTGTCTATAAGCATTCAAATGCAAATACGAGAAATTACTAAATGCTTTTAACTAACACTATGAGCATTAGAAATCAATTAGTCAATGCCATTAATTAAAGGCAGAGTCACACATGAAAACTCACAAATGAACAACCTTTACAAGTTGAGGAAACCTCTTTCACAGATGGGAGACTGAGAAGAAGAACAAGGGGCTTATGGAAAGAAGATTTTGAATCATCACTAGACCTAAAGTCATCACTAATTGATAGAAAACATTGCCTTCAGCAAAAATGTAATAAAATTATCAAGTTGTCAATGGAACTATGTGTGGGATCGACTTATGAATCACTCAGTTCCTCGGAGCTAATAATTTTAAATTCACAACTAACCTAGTTCTGGTTGCTGTACATTTACAGCAGGAACAATTGGGTACTAAAGTTACAATCAGCCAAAAAAAATGAACTAGTTAAACTCCAAAAAGTTGTCACAGATTCATTACATTGCTGATGCAAATATCAGGCTCTTCAGAGTTGTTTGTATTTGGATCGTGAGATGAGAAAACTCATCTAGGTGAGAAGAAAATAAATTATTGTGATTTCTCACCTTCTTGTTTGGATGGATACTTATTGAAAGAAGATACATGTGTCTTTTTATTTTATTTGCTTTGTATTTAGAGGGGAAGTTTAGGTATTATAATTTTTTTTGTAAAGAGTAATTTTGGCTTCTCACCACAAAACTTCAGTTTGGAGTGATATCTTTCTCATTATTTCTCTTCCTTTCTCATCATTACTCGCCTCATTATCCAAACAAGTGATGAGAAACCTCATTCTCACCATTTCTTTTCTTTTCTCGCCAAACCTATCCATCCAAACGGAGTGTAAATTCATCAACATGCAATGTTCTATTATAGACAACAAAATAAATCTATCAATTTTGCAAATAAAATTTATATATTTCACACTTATAACAAATCTATCAAAACTTCGTGAAAGATAACATTAATTACTGGACTAATCCATGACAGTCAATCAAACATATGCAATTAGCAGCTAGAGTGGGAGGGTAATAACAAATACAAATAAGAATGTGGATGAGATCAAGCTAAAACCTCATTGGCAGTGGTTGAAGCAACAAAATCCCGCAGCGCTGATGCCACAGATGCAGGTCGAGTCCTCCTAATGGCCTGTCCTATGCCCAAAATCAAACACACCATAAATCACATATTTCCACAATTCTATAGCAGTGTATGCACATAAACATTCTGACACAAACATGCAGACAAGTTAATAGATGCAAGCGTGCCAAGTATACAATATATATGCGTAATACCTCCACATGTACATCACTAGATCTATAATCTATAATACATATAAAAGGGCACGAGTGCACACAGTTATATATACTAGTAGAAAATGCCCATGCAAGGCAGTGCTACTATTGTGGTAGATTTGGTTTACAAAAATACAATTTTGGGTCTTTGACTCTAAAATTAAGTTTATTCTTCCATGGAATTGAACACAACAAATGATTAAATATAAGATAGAATTATGGATAATATTATAAAAGATAAATTATATCATGAAATTGATGAAATAAATATTTAGATTAAAAAAATTGGACATTATAATATTATGTTTGATTAAGATGGGATAAAAATATGTAATTATTTTTTACTATTGGATGAGGGAAAGAAATAATCCACACAGACCTAAAAGCTTCACCAACCAAGATGTCATTTATTAGTTGACAGCCCAAGTAACAATATTTCACATCTCTGAGCACTCCACTCAAGTTCTCATTTGCCAAGGCAACATTTGGCATTGTCTTACCCATGTTAAATTTGACATATAAAGGAAGGAATGTTTCTTTTCCCGTTTTTATAATTTAGAATCCACGTTAAATGAGTTTTGTCAGCCAAAAAAAATAAAAAATGAAATACATATTGAAAGAAAAAATGTAATAAAATAATTAATATGACACATTAATTGGAGTGTTTACTTTTAAAAACAAAAACAAATTTTTTTTGAAAGACATTAAATTACCACCTAAGCCTTAAAAATAAAAATAAGAAGGTAATTCCAACAAAAATGGCAAAAAAACAAGCCAAGTTTAATGGCTGCTCGTTAAGGTATAAAATTATATTAAAATGTGTAAAAATTTTTTTTTTTAAAATTGTATATGTATGAGAATTATAAAACGTGTATTATTGAAGTTTTATTATTTTGTCATTATTTGGACCTTAACCCACACCCATTTAACGGTGATTAGCAAGAAACCTCCACAAAGGGAAATAGTAACAACTGCTTAATGGATGGAAATTTAGGTTGGTATACCTATACAAATATATTGAAATATATAAAAGTACGTATACGAATATGTAAAGTATGTATTTAAATTTTTAAATTTTAAATTTTATTTGAACCTCAAGTCAATCTCCATTTGACCGTGATTAGCAAAACCCAAGGACAAAATTTAAAAATTAATAAATAAATAAGTAAATAAAAATAACCACATTTTTATGCAACATTGCATTACAAATTTAGTAATGGGACTCATTAAACTAATTTAGTGATAAAGGAGCAAAAGAGAGGAATAATTGAACTAAAACAAGCCAAAGTGTGCACAGTAGAAAAACAATCCAATCAAGATTTAACGGTCGTGGCGTTTACCGCCACCCATTACGGCCGCTTTTGCAGTGTGATTGAGATTCACAGGTGCGTCGGCCGTAGCGACTGTCGTAGGGGTTGTAACGATGCCGTAACAGCCGTAGCGGCCTGTTATGCTCCGTTACGTAACGGTTCCAAACTGCTTCTTTCAAAAAAAACACACAAAAAAAAAGCTGAAAATGAAGAAAGAAGGATAAAGAGAAGATGGAGGAGCAAGAGATAGAGCGAGAGGAGAGAGAAGATAAAGAATATATTATTGATTTGTTGAAGTTGTAAGACTTACGCTATTCTATTCAGCTGCTATCAAACCATTTTGTTTGTATGTGTCTATCTATATATTGTTTGAAAATAACAATAATAAGTGTGGTTATTATTTATTTGACTTGGTTAAAATATGTATATATACATTTAGACTCTTATTTATTCTCTTACTTTGTCATTGTTCATCTTATATATAATAGTTAGCGATTGATTTTTTTGTATAATATAAAATCATTAATTATTAAAATAAAATGTAAAAAACTCAATTTATAGTGATTTAAAAATATGAAATATATTAAATCATACTTAAAAACTTATAAAAATTGATCAATATTTATTTTAAACCTAATAAATATGATCATGGAAAAAAAATATGTCTATCGGTAAATTTTTTTCAAATTGTGCAAAAAATAAAAATATTTCTAGTTCCGATTACCGCAACCGTTACACACCGTAACTGCACCACCGCCACCATTACCGCAACTGTTTTCAAAACCTTGAATCCAATTAAAGAGTGAAATGATTAAAAAGTAACCCACAAAACTTGGTTTTGCAACAAGAGTTCCAAAAATATAATTCACTGTAGCAAAGTGAATAGTGTATATATATGTATGCATGTATTGTAGATATCTGAGTGTGTGTAGTTTTTGGAACATACATACCCAAGCAAAAGAACCACCAGAAGCAACTCTTTGCCTTGCAATTGCCCACATCATTCCTCTAATCACTTTCCCCCAATTCACTAAATAATTAATAAAAATCAGTTTTCAAATAATTTAATATTTGAGATAAGAAGATCATCAATAATAAACTAGAAATGGAATCGAAGACCTAAAACAAATCACATATAATTTCACAAATATACATATATATATATACATATATATAGAGAGAGAGAGAGAGAGAGAAGTTGAACCTGGTGGAAGAGATGGTTGCGCCGTCGTGTAAAGTGGGGAAGGAAGATAGAGAGAGAGAGAGAGAGAGAGAGAGAGAGAGAGAATAAACCCCAGAGGAGAAGGGTTAGGCCTATGTATGTCTGTGGTATGTATGTATGTATGACATCTGAGTGGTTGGCCTGAATCTGGTGTGAAAGGGTCTATCATAACACTTGTATGTTACATAGCCACGTCGACGCGGGTGGATCAATCATGTGCTGCCTCGGTAACGGGGTTGGGGTCGGGTCGGCCCATGTCATATTTTAAAACCCATATCCTATTTATTATGGGTTTAAAATAATCAACGGTTTTGGGCTGGGTCTGATATGGGCCTAATTTATTTTTATTTTTTTTAATTACATTCTAAACAAATTAAAAAATAATAATATAAAATTTTAAAGTGCATTATGGTAATTAAAATTGAATATTAAATTATGAGAAATAAAAAAAACAAAAAAAAAACTTAACTTCACTTGGCCTAATTTGTCCATATATTTTTAGGGTTGTGCTAGGCCACAGAGTATGGACTTTTTATTGAGGCTTAAATCATCCAAATCAAATCACTTTCTTTCTCAAATTGCACAGTTTAATTGGATTAAACAATAACTAAGTCCATGTTTTTTGTGGAATATATTGAATGAATTATGAGTAATCGAGTAATAAGATTACTAGTTGAAGATCTAAGACAAAGTGAGGAGGCAAAATTCTTTTTAAAAAAAAGAAAAAAGAAAAAAAAAGAACATGTCATTGTCATATTCACTTTCTTATTAAAACGAAATCATTTTGATACAATACAAGATGCAATACTGACAATATATTATAGAAGATCCAAATTTTAAAGAAAGATGGTTGTATTAGTACAAAATTATGTGCAATTATTATCACATACAAAATTAGGCCCATCTTGGGTTGATATTTCATATTGATTTCCTTGTCTCTATGCCAAGGAGCCAAACCGCAAAATATTTTACAATAGGTAGTGTAGGTAGGGTCCACAAATATTACAGGACAAATTTTACATATGTTTACAGCTACACACATCATAATTAACAGGATCTTGAATTAATTATCAACTCGATTCGCTTGGGTAGTTAATTAATTAATTCACACCGTCTGATGAAGAGTCCGAGACGTTATAATAACGAAGACCAGAAGAAGGATCAAAGGGAGTGGAAAAGAGAGGTGTTGAATTAAGAAGTGGCCAATCATTGTTGAAGTACTCCTCCGCCATGTGTGCATTGCTTGGCACTGAAGCCACCTCCTCACCTATATATGCCAATTACCACACAACATATCAATAATATATCAAATACAAGTTAAATATAATAACAACGTATAAATATAGTCATGCAATAAAACTTAAAAAGTAAAATATGGGTATGGTCAAGATAGGTTGAATTTAGTTTGATAAAATCTGAAAAAAAATAGAATATTATCTTTATCTCACTATTTTCTTATTTATTAAAACTATTGTAGGGGAAATATCACGTATCCATATTTCAGAATTACTGAATAATTATTCCTATTGTAGTATTTATTCTAACAATTATATTAGAATAATATGTAAAAATTATTACAATTTCAATTTCATAATAGTTTGGATAAAATCTGAGAAAAAAAGAGTGTTTGATTTGATATTTCTTGAAATTAATATCAAATATCAAATATGCTTAATAAGTATTAGATAAGTATTTATGAGTATTCAAAGAGTATAATATTTAATACTAGTACGATACCGATTCAGCTTCTATTTAGAAGTATTCATGCTCTATAGTATCAATATATCACCCCAAGTGGAGAGAGAGAGAGAGAGAGAGATGACTCAATAGTCATCATGAAAATGATCATGAAGGAGAAAAATTGGGATAGAGAAATTTATTGTATAATGGATTTGTAGTGATATTTTGTGATGAGTAGGTCTCGGGTGTAGTATAGTTGAATAAAGACTACTGAACAATAGATATTGAGAATTAGGTAATGTAGTTATGAATTTTTTAAAATAACAATAAAAAAATGGTAGTCATATCAATTGTAAATAGGTTTACTAGTATCAAAAGGGCAAAACAACAGTACATATTAGATATTTAAAACAATAGGATTAATTGTATAAATTAACACAAAAGAAAGATTCAAGTAAGTAATACCTTGGGTTAGTAGTAGTGTTGCCGTAGTCTCATTCAAAAGTCCATCTACTTCTTCCAAGGAATTCCAATTTTGATATGCATCTCTCACCAAATTCTGAAGATAGGCCTGAAATTTATCACCATCAATATGCACAACATGAACATATTATTATCATTATTATTATTATTATTATTATTATTATGGGTTCAACTTGTCTCAAGTTGAGATCAAGACTGGACCCGTCCAGTTCGGCTTATGGAGTTCATTTTTTGGGCCCGTTTTGATAATCCGAACCGTTCAATGTATAGAAATTTTGAGTACTATATGTCTGTAAAAAATCACGTTGATCGGATATCAATACCTATGTGATCAAATCAGTTTTGTATAAAAAAAAAAATGGACGGTGAAACAATTAACGGTTAATAAAAAACTGTTTTGTTCACATAACTATCGATATCCGATCAACGTGATTTTTTACAGGCTTATAGTACTCGACGAGTTCTACACATTGAACGGTTCGGATTATCAAAACGGGACCCGTGGTGAGCCCTCACGGGCCCAACAACACGGTCCAGTCCGATCTTGGACTGGACCAAAGCCACTGCCTATTATTATTATACTTTGATTATGATTAGCAAAATATAATTTGAGAAATCTAAATGCATTAATTGCTCATATAAGCACATACCCTATTCATGGTTGTCAAATTCCGAGTAGTAGGCAACAATGTTTGGCCATTAATCACAGCCTTGAAAACTTGACATATAGGATTCAAAGTAATGGTGTAGTCGGCTCCCCGGGAAATATACAGTTTGTTTCCCATAATGCAGGTTGTTGCGTGCTTTATTGTTATTTCCCACATTTTATCCGACATCCCAACACCTAATATCTGTTCGAAATTCATGGAAATCCATGTTAATTTTGTTTAGAGCAAGTGAGCAAGAAAGCTTATATTGTACTATTAATGTAGTTTTTCTATACAATACATTTGTTTTGTCAAAAATATGTTTTTCAAAAAATATTTTTCTCACTTTTCTGGCATTTGAAAAAGTTTTTTTTATGATGAATAGAAAATGAGTTTATTTGGTCTAAATTACTATCACATTAATTTCGAGATTGCAACTAAATATGAGAAGGTTTCTTAAAAAAATGTTTTATAGTGGAAAGTACATATATACCTTTCTAAGTTTGTTTGGTTCCACAACAGACATCTTCAAGAAGTCTTGGACTGTGTTAATGGCTTCAGATGCTAGCTTCTTATGGAAAGCTCCATTTTTTCCAATCTTCTCTAGTCTCCATACCTCATCTTCTAGATTGGGTGGATGATGTTTTCTATACACTACATATCAATCATGAAAAGAGAGATTAAAATTACAATCTATTTCATTTCAGTCAATTAATTAGTAAAAGCATTTTAATTATTGGGTCAAAATGCTTGAAACAAAGTTGCTAATCTCTCAAATCTTTTTATCTAGGAAACACATAATATTTCGTCAAAAGCTAAAAGCATTTTTGCAAAGTACTTCGAAAGTGAAATTCAATAAATATTTATCTTCCAAAGCTAGTCTCGCCCGGGTCATAGTTTTCTTTTTTTGTATTTTGTTCTTTTCTTTTTCGTTATTCATGTTGTCAGAAACAAAATAAGATGATGTCACATTGCTTTTGTTTTTGTGTAAAAATAATTTTCAAAATTTCAAAACTACTTTTTGATGCTTGTTTTCAAGAGTGATAAATAAATAACATAATCAAAACTTTAGCTGATTGTTGACTGGTATTTATGTGTGATAAAAATAAAAATAAAAATAAAAATAAGTAGTGAAACAAATTTATGTAATTTACTTTTCTCTTCCCTTTTATTCTTCTTAAAAATTTTCTTCACAAATTCCAAATTGAACACAATCTAAATTTTTCACAATTTTAAGATTCAAACAAAACCTAATACAACACTTTGTATCAATAATAAATTTTTACCCATGCCATTCGGTTTTGTATGGGAAGAGTAATGCTACAACCATAGTTTATTCTCACCACATTTTCTTTTTCATTGGCCATATAAAATGGTGAATTCGTATTAATAAATACATGCAAAATCCACATTTTCTTTTTGTATGTGATATTATTTTTACTATTTTTCACTTAAACGATATTTCTCCTTTCTTCTATAGCTACTTGTTTTGTCTAGTTCATTTTGGTTCCATGATGAATTCATGATTTTGTGATATGATAATGACAAACTCACTTATCCTCACAATATTGTGGAAATATTTTGCAAGCATGCATATGATTATTTTAATTAGATCATTAAGAGAAATGGACTCTTGAGATTTTCTATTTGTTGTTAATTTTAATATATTATCTTGTTTTAGTTTTTGTTTGTATGAGTTGGTGAGAAATATTGGTGACCTTATCACCCTCAATCATTGAACCATAGTTTATTCTCACCACATTTTCTTTTTCATTGGCCATATAAAATGGTGAATTCGTATTAATAAATAGATGCAAAATCCATTTATTATATCAAGTAAGTGAGAAAATTAGTGAATATAACATTTTCGAAACTTGAAACTAGTGATAATCTGCAGCAAGACTTTATATTCTCACAATATTTTTTGCATACAAAAATCTTAATTGGTTAGGTTTGGGAAACTGCATATTCTTTGACTTAACAAGTACCAAGATTTATTTCCCTTTTGTGTCTTGTAACCAATGATTGAGGGTGATAAGGTCACCAATATTTCTCACCAACTCATACAAACAAAAACTAAAACAAGATAATATATTAAAATTAACAACAAATAGAAAATCTCAAGAGTCCATTTCTCTTAATGATCTAATTAAAATAATCATATGCATGCTTGCAAAATATTTCCACAATATTGTGAGGATAAGTGAGTTTGTCATTATCATATCACAAAATCATGAATTCATCATGGAACCAAAATGAACCAGACAAAACAAGTAGCTATAGAAGAAAGGAGAAATATCGTTTAAGTGAAAAATAGTAAAAATAATATCACATTAGTTAAAAACTTTATGACATTAAAAGCTAATAAGTTTGTAAACTTTTTTCACCAAACTGATATTAGAAGAAACTTACATTCTCCACGGTGGTCTTTGACAACAAAAGGTTCGGTCATGGCTTCACGTACCCTAACAGCACCCTGATTGCTTCTTTGAACCACTCTTGCACCGAGCCTAAATTTTCTGCCTCGAGTCCAACTCGAATTATCGGTAAATTCAATTTCTCCGACATGTGCAACCCCATCTCTCATGGTAACTAGCACATCTCCGGCGAGCAATGGTCGCTTCCCAGTTCTCTCCCTCTTGACCTTCTTATCGAATTCTTCGCTGGTCCACATGTTGTGGTCTTTGGGAGGAAAGTCCCCATCAAGGACTACAATCTCTACTTTTGTTGGATGTGAAAGACCTGTTGGAACTAATTGATCAGATGTTGTGTCTACCAGAAGGATTTGAAGAGGAGAGTTTTCGATATTCACTATCTTGCTGCCAGTGAATATTGGTAGCAAAAGGCTTTTATTGAAAATTAATTTTAAGGCTGACGGTTCGAGGGTTTGAATTCTCAATGAAGGTGACCTAGTTAAAAATCTTCCACCAGATCTTAGGCCATGTTCCATCTCTTCACTCACCTGAAAATACATTAGTTTCATTAGCATGTGTTCTTTATTCATTGTTATGATTTTATGCCTTTTTTTTTTATTGTTTAGGATTTAAGGTATAGAGCATAGTTTTATAGGTGGAGCCATTTCGGTACCTTTCATGGCACAATGATATCAGGAATAGTGAGCTTTTTTTTCTTTTTATATACATATAATCAGCTGAGGAAGAAAAAAAAGAAAAAAAAAAGAAGCTTTATAGCAGTAATTGGCTATAGATTGATATGTATCAAGAATCAACAAATACATACACCAAAGTAAATTAGTTTCGAAAGGATGAAAATTTGATACGTATATCTTCTATAAACTGATACCTCAGAAGATCAAAAAATCTAATCATATCAACCATATGGTAATATAATTTTAGATATTTTTTGGTTGTGCTAGTGCTACTTTAATGGAGGGTTTCATGGTCATACCACTCTTCTGAGCATTGGCTCCAGCACTGAACAGAAATTTTCTAAGAAATTCCCCACAACTACTTCTCCAATTTTACTGTCAAGAAAGAAAATAGCAACCAAATAGTAAGCGGCGTGAATAACATGGTATTTCATAAGAAGAAAAAGTTTAGGAATATAAACACCAATAACAGAACTAAATACAATCCTCTCACACAACACGTATGTGATAGAATTGTGTCCAGTTTCCGTGAAAGACAGTGAAACATTTGGATCCCAACTAGGTTGGCACCTAAATGCACACCAAATCATCTGCTAGCACACACTCGAGGCTCCAAGATGGTGAGGAACCATCAAATAGAGCGAAACAAAACAAACAAAAACGAAAAGGCCACAGAAGCACGCCAAAGCTGGGTCATAATACAGAACACCAAAACAGTGGCTGAGCATAATAAACAATAGCAGACCAGTGGCTGCACACCATTCAAACACCAATCAGAAGCGGCGTGAATAACATGGTATTTCATAAGAAGAAAAAGTTTAGGAATATAAACACCAATAACAGAACTAAATACAATCCTCTCACACAACACGTATGTGATAGAATTGTGTCCAGTTTCCGTGAAAGAAGTCTCTAAACTTGTAGTTTTAAAACAAACATATGATCATGAGAAGAAAAGTAATAAGATCCATGAGAGAAATTGAAAGTAGTATTGTTTCACAAACAAAGAAAAAATTCAAGGGAAAAAAAGAAAAGAAAAAAAGATCAAATTCTAAAAACATACGACGACAAGGAAGGTGTAGGTCTGATTTTTTTTCCATTTGGGTGATCTGGGTCGGTCTTAGATTCATCGAAAAACCGTTTGGATGACATTATTTAGAGAATCAAAACCTTAAATGTAAAGAAACCAGCATATAACTGTAGAGAGAGAGAGAGAGAGAGAGAGAGAGAGAGAGTGAGTTGTTGGAGGTTGGAGAAAGAGGGTTAGGGATACACGGCATCTGTTAATCTCACAAACGATAACCGTGTATGTATATATATATATGTAGGAATTAGCCCTAATAAATAAATATAATAAATGAAGCTTCTTCGAATGATAGAGGAACCATCTGGGTAAAGCTCCAAATGACCTTTGATACCATAATGTAAAAATCTACGAAAACACACACACACACACACATATAATATTATGAAAATTATTATTCTTATATAATTTTGATATGAATATTTTTTTTAATCAAAGCAATGTAATTATGATATATTAATAATTAAAAATTATTTTAACAAGCACTTTGTTTTAGAAATGATAAATTTACCACATACACATCATTATTTATATATCATTACTCATTCTTAATATTATTATGTATAGAAAAATACTAATTATCATTTGAGAAATAGCCATTAGCCTAGATATACATGTAAAAAATTATAAAATATAAATTAAATATAAATAAAAATGTAGTTGAGTTACGTATTTATTACAAAAAATTATAACCTTAAATCAATCCTATATACATTATTTTTGGAGTAAAATTATAATAAATTTTTCATGGTTACTAGAATTATGAATAAAAATATGTATGAAAAATAAATTAAAATTAAAATTCTTTTATCATTTTTTATCCCACTTTATTTACAGTAACTGCCATTAGAATGACTTGTAACGACTTTGCCGTCAACCTCAAAGTCAACTCTCTCTCACGCACCCACACACACACACTCAGCACACCCACACAACCCTCGATACACAGGACGAAAGTGGGCCCTGGCTGAAGGAGATCCAACGGCTAGAAATAAATGGTGACTATAAAAAATGTCATTAACCGTTGATCTCGATATGTAAAGTTAAACCGCGGAGAAGTGACTTTGAGATGGCCCACTATCTTGTAAGAAACTATAATAAAAATTGAAATAATATTATATATAAATTTGTGCATGAAACATGATTAGTGATATCATTTAACAGTTTATTAATGTATTAGTTTAAGGTACCGACAACTATTACTTTTTTCTAGCTTAAAAATTGGCATTAAGGTTTTATTTGAGAAGTTGTTAAATTAATTAAAAAGTTATTAATTTTTATTTTTATTGTTTTTGTATATTCTTTTGTAAAAAATTAAAAAAAAATTACTACAAAGTTAATTTTCAACTAAATCATATTAAATTGCAATGTAAATATGATGGCACTATAAATAAAAATAATAATAATAATTTTTATTATTATTATTATTATTATTATTATTATTATTTATTAATAATATGATAGGACACATGCCACTCTCTTATTTATCTTAAATTTAAAAGAAGTTACATGGATAGTGTGAAAAAATGGAGCACATGTATCTGAAATCTCGTATTTTTTAAATATTATACTTTAGTAAATAGTAGGAAAAATTATTTATAAATCATATTTGAAAGATTTATTCAATGTAAAATCTTATGGATATTCTTTTAGAGTTTGAAATCCTATTTAAATAAAAATGTGTTCCATAAAGTCCTATGAGTTATAAATAAATGATATTAGTGTATTATTATAATCCTAATTTGTATTCATCATATTGTACCTTATTTTCTCATTTATCATATCACGTTTGGGAAGGTTTTAGAAAAGCAAGTCTACAGGTAACGACCATGTGAGCTTTTTTTGCCTTGATTGCAGAATTCCAGTGCATTTTCAAAATATTACTTAAATGGATGTGGAAGTGGATATGGTTGATGATATGATGAAGTTTGAGGGTTGTGTGTTGATTCATTCAGTAGATTTCGACTCCAATCGATTGAAGGGAAGAGTTATTTTTTTTTTATTTGTTATTTTTAATTGTTGTTGTTGTTGTTGTTGAAGTGTATTGTTATTTGTTGAAGTGATGATTATTTATCTTTAATAGGGCATTGACAATTTATTACACTCATTGATAGACACATTTTGACCAATATTCTGATTGAATGTATGTATTTAACATTGTAATAGTTGATGCGTTTTGATATGTTCGATGTGTTTGGGTTCAAGGGTTGGGTTAGGGGTATTTGGTTTTTGTTGTTAATTGGATGTCGAATGTGAATCATGTCGTATGATGGAAATTATATATTAGGAAATGAATGATCGTGTTATGATGCATGTTACATTTAGTATGTAACGTTAATCCACATACACCATGTAATAGTTGACATTTGTGTGTGTTACTCGGTTGTATATGTATTTGAATGTGTATCGTGTTTTTGTTATAATCAGTGTTCACATACATGTTACAATATGTTGCGCAAAATTATTCGGGATTTGGGTTTGTAATTGAATATGGATTGAATCACATTACTCGATGTTGAAGTTACGCTGAGTTGGGGGTGATGGTGATTCAATACATGGGTTAGGTTAGGAGGCACTATAAACAAAAATAATAATAATAATTTTTATTATTATTATTTTTATTATTATTTATTAATAATATGATAGGACACATGCCACGCTCTTATTTATCTTAAATTTAAAAGAAGTTACATGGATAGTGTGAAAAAATGGAGCACATGTATCTGAAATCTCGTATTTTTTAAATATTATACTTTAGTAAATAGTAGGAAAAATTATTTATAAATCATATTTGAAAGATTTATTTAATGTAAAATCTTATGAATATTCTTTTAGAGTTTGAAATCCTATTTAAATAAAAATGTATTCCATAAGGTCCTATGAGTTATAAGTAAATAATATTAGTGTATTATTATAATCCTAATTTGTATTCATCATATTGTACCTTATTTTCTCATTTATCATATCACGTTTGGGAAGGTTTTAGAAAAGCAAGTCTACAGGTAACGACCATGTGAGCTTTTTTTGCCTTGATTGCAGAATTCCAGTGCATTTTCAAAATATTACTTAAATGGATGTGGATGTGGATGTGGATATGGTTGATGATATGATGAAGTTTGAGGGTTGTGTGTTGATTCATTCAGTAGATTTCGACTCCAATCGATTGAAGGGAAGAGGTATTTTTTTTTTATTTGTTATTTTTAATTGTTGTTGTTGTTGTTGTTGAAGTGTATTGTTATTTGTTGAAGTGATGATTATTTATCTTTAATAGGGCATTGACAATTTATTACATTCATTGATAGACACGTTTTGACCAATATTCCGATTGAAAGTGTGTATTTAACATTGTAATAGTTGATGCGTTTTGATATGTTCGATGTGTGGGGTGATGTGTATGGGTTCAAGGGTTGGGTTAGGGGTATTTGGTTTTTGTTGTTAATTGGATGTCGAATGTGAATCATGTCGTATGATGGAAATTATATATTGGGAAATGAATGATCGTGTTATGATGCATGTTACATTTAGTGTGTAACGTTAATCCACATACACTATGTAATAGATAACATTTGTGTGTGTTGCTCGGTTGTATATGTATTTGAATGTGTATCGTGTTTTTGTTATAATCAGTGTTCACATACATGTTACAATATGTTGCGCAAAATCATTCGGGATTTGGGTTTGTAATTGAATATGGATTGAATCACATTGCTCGATGTTGAAGTTACGCTGAGTTGGGGGTGATGGTGATTCAATACATGGGTTAGGTTAGGATGTCACATGTTACATTCTGGAGGTTACATTATTCATAATTCAACAGTGGAAGATTGTAATGTCACGTTCGGTTTGGGATGAGAAGTATATGGGAATATCATGGTGGGTTTGGGATATTACATATTACATTTACGTTGGGTTTGTGATGAGAAGTATATGAGAATTTCATGTTGGGTTTGAGAATGTCACATCAGGTTTGGGATGTTATATGTTACATTTATGTTTTGAATTTCAAATTTCGAACCATATAAATATAATCACAATTTATGATAATATTGAATTTTCCATGCATGGTATTACCATTAATCAAGTTATTTTGAATTTCAGAAGCATATGGAAATGCCACGTTGGGTTTGGGATGTTATATTTACGTTTTGAATTTCAAATTTCTAACCATATAAATATGATCACAATCTATGGTAATATTGGATTTCCCATATATAGTATTGCTATTAATTAGGTTATTTTGAATTTCAAATTTCTAACCATATAAATATGATTACAATCTATAATAACATTGGATTTTTCATATATGGTTGTTGACTTTTAGCTTTTGAATGTTAATACTGTAATTTTAAGCATGCCAGTAAGGATCAATTAGTCCTTACAGAATATTAATTGCCAACCAATTATTAGACGATGTTATAGTTCTCTCAGTCTCAATGAAGAGGACTTTTATGAAAAGGACTTTTATTGGTGGCTTATTTAGGAGAATTTAGTAAATAACAACAAATGAAGAACAATTTCAGAATCTGAATTTCATTAAGTAAAATCAAAAACTTGCAATGATCTGACCCAATCTCGTAGAGGTTTACAGCAATACGCTACTTGAAACTACTCCTAGGAAATAAAATGCAGTACAGGAATTGAAGTGCAGAAATGTAAAGAACTCTAAAAACTGGAAGGAAAAACGAAGTAAATAAACTGATTTTTTGATCTGTTTCTGGGACCTTCTCTGCTATTTATACTTTTCAATGATAACCGTCGAAGTGGGCTTCTAACCTTCGAAATATCCTCTCATGATTGTTGAACATGTTCTCTCACAATCAATCCCATTACGCCACTCTTGTAGTTAGGCTTCCCTCCTAATTTTGAATTTAAACTTTGTGAGTAACGATTAGGCCACATTACTTTGTATCTCTTGATTGTTCCAGTGCTACGCAGATCCATTATTACCAATACGAATTGACACGTGTCTGACTTTGGTTGGCAACATGTATTAACTCCCTAAATTGCCCTTTTCATGCCACGTGTTGAATTATGATTGGCTTTTACAAATTATACAAACAATATTACCCCTCGCACTAATATACCCAATACTTAGTGATATTAGAGGCACTTTACTCATGTCTTAGGACGTGCATGGGCTTTACATCTTCTTAGAAATGCAACTGTTGTCCATCATTGTAGTATTTGC